TTTCCTAGTATAAAATATTTCAAAATCCTTTATTTGTCGGCCGGTGGACTTCCCAAAACTTCAAATTGATTTATCTCGGCAAATATGGATCTAATCGCGATTTGGGGGGTGTTCAGATGGTCGAAATTTTTATACCCGGATTTCCTTGAATCAAATTTTTCAAAATCCTTTATTTGTCGGCCGGTGGATTTCCAAAACTTTAAATCGATTTATCTCCGTAAATATGGCTGTAATCGCGATTTGGGGGGTGTTCAGATGGTCGAAATTTTTATACCCAGATTTCCTTGTGTAAAATATTTCATAATATTTTAATTGTCGGCCGGTGGATTTCCCAAACCTTTAAATCGATTTATCTCCGTAAATATAGCTCTAATCGCGATTTGGGGGGTGTTCAGATGGTCGAAATTTTTATACCCAGATTTCCTTGTGTAAAATATTTCAAAATCCTTTAATTGTCGGCCGGTGGATTTCCCAAACCTTTAAATCGATTTATCTCCGTAAATATGGCTCTAATCGCGATTTGGGGGATGTTCAGATGGTCGAAATTTTTATACCCGGATTTCCTAGTATAAAATATTTCAAAATCTTTTATTTGTCGGCCGGTGGACTTCTCAAACCTTTAAATCGATTTATCTCCGTAAATATGGCTGTAATCGCGATTTGGGGGGTGTTCAGATGGTCGAAATTTTTATACCCAGATTTCCTTGTATAAAATATTTCAAAATCCTTTATTTGTGAGCCGGTGGACTTCCCAAACCTTTAAATCGATTTATCTCCGTAAATATGGCTCTAATCACGATTTGAGGGGTGTTCAGATGGTCGAAATTTGTGTACCCAGATTTCCTAGTATAAAATATTTCAAAATCCTTTATTTGTGGGCCGATGGACTTCCCAAACCTTTAAATCGATTTATCTTCGTAAATATGGCTCTAATCGCGATTTGGGGGGTGTTCAGATAGTCGAAATTTTTATACCCGGATTTCCTAGTGTAAAACTGTTTCAAAATCCTTTATTTGTCGGCCGGTTGATTTCTCAAACCTTTAAATCGATTTATCTTCGTAAATATGACTCTAATCGCAATTTGATGGGTGTTAAGATGGTCAAAATTTTTAAACCCGGATTGCCTTGTATAAAATATTTCCAAATCCTTTATTTGTTAGCCGGTGGACTTCCCAAAACTTTAAATCGATTTATCTCCGTAAATATGGCTCTAATCGCGATTTGGCGGGTGTTAAGATGGTCGAAATTTTTATACCTGGATTTCCTAGTGTAAATTGTTTCAAAATCCTTTATTTGTCGGCCGGTGGATTTCTCAAACCTTTAAATCGATTTATCTTCGTAAATATGGCTCTAATCGTGATTTGGGGGGTGTTCAGATGGTCGAAATTTTTATACCCGGATTGCCTTGAATAAAATATTTCAAAATTCTTTATTTGTCTACCGGTGGACTTCCCAATCCTTTATATCGATTTATCTCCGTAAATATGGCTCTAATCACGATTTGGGGGGTGTTCAGATGGTCGAAATTTTTATACCCGGATTTCCTAGTGTAAAACTGTTTCAAAATCCTTTATTTGTCGGCCGGTTGATTTCTCAAACCTTTAAATCGATTTATCTTCGTAAATATGACTCTAATCGCAATTTGATGGGTGTTAAGATGGTCAAAATTTTTAAACCCGGATTGCCTTGTATAAAATATTTCCAAATCCTTTATTTGTTAGCCGGTGGACTTCCCAAACCATTAAATCGATTTATCTCCGTAAATATGGCTCTAATCACGATTTGGGGGGTGTTCAGATGGTCGAAATTTTTATACCCGGATTTCCTAGTGTAAAATTGTTTCAAAATCCTTTATTTGTCGGCCGGTGGACTTCTCAAACCTTTAAATCGATTTATCTCCGTAAATATGGCTGTAATCGCGATTTGGGGGGTGTTCAGATGGTCGAAATTTTTATACCCAGATTTCCTTGTATAAAATATTTCAAAATCCTTTATTTGTGAGCCGGTGGACTTCCCAAACCTTTAAATCGATTTATCTCCGTAAATATGGCTCTAATCACGATTTGAGGGGTGTTCAGATGGTTGAAATTTGTGTACCCAGATTTCCTAGTATAAAATATTTCAAAATCCTTTATTTGTGGGCCGGTGGACTTCCCAAACCTTTAAATCGATTTATCTCTGTAAATATGGCTCTAATCGCGATTTGGGGGGTGTTCAGATGGTCGAAATTTTTATACCCGGATTTTCTAGTGTAAAATTGTTTCAAAATCCTTTATTTGTCGGCCGGTGGACTTCTCAAACCTTTAAATCGATTTATCTCCGTAAATATGGCTCTAATCGCGATTTGGGGGGTTTTCAGATGGTCGAAATTTTTATACCCAGATTTCCCTAGATACCCTAGTATAAAATATTTCAAAATCCTTTATTTGTGGGCCGGTGGACTTCCCAAACCTTTAAATCGATTTATACCCGAATTTCCTAGTGTAAATTGTTTCAAAATCCTTTATTGTCGGCCGGTGGATTTCCCAAACGTTTAAATCGATTTATCTCCGTAAATATGGCTCTAATCGCGATTTGGGGGGTGTTCAGATGGTCGAAATTTTTATACCCGGATTTTCTAGTGTAAAATTGTTTCAAAATCCTTTATTTGTCGGCCGGTGGACTTCTCAAACCTTTAAATCGATTTATCTCCGTAAATATGGCTCTAATCGCGATTTGGGGGGTTTTCAGATGGTCGAAATTTTTATACCCAGATTTCCCTAGATACCCTAGTATAAAATATTTCAAAATCCTTTATTTGTGGGCCGGTGGACTTCCCAAACCTTTAAATCGATTTATACCCGAATTTCCTAGTGTAAATTGTTTCAAAATCCTTTATTGTCGGCCGGTGGATTTCCCAAACGTTTAAATCGATTTATCTCCGTAAATATGGCTCTAATCGCGATTTGGGGGGTGTTCAGATGGTCGAAATTTTTATACCCGGATTTTCTAGTGTAAAATTGTTTCAAAATCCTTTATTTGTCGGCCGGTGGACTTCTCAAACCTTTAAATCGATTTATCTCCGTAAATATGGCTCTAATCGCGATTTGGGGGGTTTTCAGATGGTCGAAATTTTTATACCCAGATTTCCTAGTATAAAATATTTCAAAATCCTTTATTTGTGGGCCGGTGGACTTCCCAAACCTTTAAATCGATTTATACCCGAATTTCCTAGTATAAAATATTTCAAAATCTTTTATTTGTCGCCCGGTGGACTTCCCAAACCTTTAAATCGATTTATCTCCGTAAATATGGCTCTAATCGCGATTTGGGGGGTGTTCAGATGGACGAAATTTGTATGTCCGTTGGCTGTGTTGATCGCCTTTCGGAAGGACGCCCACTTGTATAATAAAATCTAGCCCCCCGTCGGTGGCTGCACTAATCGGGTTTGCCTCACCTTTCTATTTTTTCTGCCGTCGTGGTTTCTCCGCCGGACGCGGGCACTGTCTCCTACGGTGGAGCTTTACCTTTTTCTCGCACCACAGCCCCGATGTAATCCTCACTTTACATTAAGTTTTTAAAATTTTGTCTGTCTCATTCGTTGGGTTTATCAGAGCCAGTTATACGTCACGTTACTGTCAAATTGAAATCTATTTTTGAGGCAGTATCTAGCCTGACCATCTGTTTGTCTTTTGGCGTGGAAAAGCTCAGTTTAAAAAAAAAATCATTTTGAATCTCACTTCTAGGAGGGCTAATAAAAAAACAAAAAGCTTCAAAAGTTAGATCTTCCAAATTCCAGAAATTTTCTCCACTCAAATCTCAATCAGGCACTTGTTTCGGCTTTAGATCACTGTGCATTGTAGTTGTGAGTAGAAATCTAAAGGAATCTTGACAATAATTCAAAATAAAGAGAGACATATCAGCCAATGGCTGAAAGTTGCTTTACTAAAACAACCTAACCTAACAATTTTAAATAAATTCTGAAAATTTAAGAGTAATCTAGAATGAGTTGTTGGTAGTTCCAATGGGCTATTCATAATTTTTTGAGAGTTTTTAGACTTGCTCCCTGCGCAGACAATCATCTATACCATTTTAAAAAAAAAATTATTTATCGTAGACAATCGCCAATACTAACCCCTCCCTCATATCGTTTTGCTATTGTCTATAGGATTATGAAAAATGATAATGTATTGGTTTGGAGAAAACTTAAGACTGGAATTTTTAACGAAATCATTCAAAATTCAGCAAACCTAATTTGAAAAAAGTACAGTATAGAAAAAATAAAAAATCATTTTCACCTCCCTAAAGTCCTAAACGGAATATCACAGGAAATAGAACGGCTTGCGTGTCGTTTCTTGTTTCACGCATTCGTCCCAATAACAACTCGATTTGCACCGTCAAAGGGTCTTGTAGCCTCAGCCGTAAAGCTCTTTCCCTAGATTTATGATTCAGTTTCAACGCCTGTCATGACGTTCGAGAATTATTGCTTTTCTGCCTGTCGGCTGAAATTGCAAAACTTCCTTCTAATCTCTCACTGTTGTACCCGTAGCGGGATGGGTGCCCTTTATGTTTCTCATGAAGAATTCAAAAACTCCAACCACATTCCAACGATTTCCTATGGAAAACAAGATATTCACGCACCGTTTAGACCATTCCCAAGGCACGACACCGGCTCCCGCCGAAGGTGCGTGCGAATATTTTCTGCACCTCCCCATAGGTACCGAATATTACCTGGGAGGCTTTCCCAGGTCGTCACGTACTTCGCCTAGCGAACGAATCCCGTCCTCTGGCATGCAAGCAAATCGAATAAATTTCCCGCTGTTCCAGTTGCCAAGTGGGATTGCTCTGCCTTTTTTTCCGCGCCGAGATTCGCTCAACTTGGCAAGGAAATATTACGTGTTTTATTGCCGGGGAGAATTGTCAGCCCAGCCATCCAACAATGAAAGGCAATGATTGAAATGTTTTTCGACCTGTGCTATAAACGAATGCTCACGATTACTCCCTTTTTTCGTATTTTGCAGGAAATCACGCAATCGGAACGGTGCGCAAATTCCCGACACTGCCGTTGAATCCGAACGGCGTATGGATCGATCCCGGAGGTGGTGTCTGGCGGCAGGCGTCCGAAATCACCAAGGAAGCCATCACCGACTATGCGGCCGTGTCGAATGCTCCCACGCTGCCACTGCCGGACTATGAGAGGTGAGTGGGATGGGAAGTTTTTTTTTTGGACATACATTTGTGGAAACCGCTTGAAGATGCCTTTGTTTATGAGCGCACACATCTATCGTTCTCAAAAGGTGCTTCAGTCATGTAATTATCTACTGGTACAAACCTTAATTTCATCCATCAACTTGAATCACATTCTTTGACTATGAATTAGTAGTGACTAAACAATCACAATTAATGAATTGTAGTGGATTTTCGATTACTCAGTGTATATGAGTTCAGAGGATGTTCAGAGAACGCAAATAAAATATTTACGGGATTGCAACACGTCCGAATGACTAATAATAAGACCAATTCTTAAGAAACCTGAATCCTATCGTTAAGAAAGTAATCGAAGTACTAAACTGTGAATCTTTGGAGCGGTAAGGTCTATTTCAGGGTGAGGACACAAGATTATACATGCTTTGACATTCGTTGTCCTCAGGATCGAAAGAAAGCTTGATGAAAAATTACATCAGCTGATACCGAAGTCACGTTTGAACATAAAAGTAGTATGTAAACATAAGCCTTAACACGCACGAAGCGCTGTTAGCCAGAATTAGCCCCATAATAGCTACCAACAGTAGCAGCAGCCATGAGATCGGTCTCTTTCGAAAGCAACAACGAGAGATACGTGACACAAGCGTTTACAATACCATTATGTTATGGTAGAAACGGTAGTAAAATAGCGATGCAATCAGTGGGACCTCCGTCCACGGTGGTGATGGTGGTTCCACCCGTGTTGACCAAAGTGATAGTCGATAGCAATATAGTTGCTGCTGCTATCTCATTAAGAGAATAGGTTGGACTGCACTTCAAAAGGCCAGCAACGTTGAAAGGCGTGATTTTTCACCCCTGTCACGAAACCACACGTGACGGGACACTGATTTCCACTGGAAGGACAATATGGAAACACCATTGAAGAGTATGCTTATATAGCTAGGGTGGTTCTCTCGTATTACGATTTTCCCTTACAAAAATACCTTTATTCCCTAATATGGCTAAACCCTAGAAACCATCTTGACAGGAATGAACAAGTAGCAAAACGATACTACATACACTTCAAGCAAGTCCCGGAGGGACCTGCTCCCTTGGGTCATTGAGGACCCGCACCCGTACGCGGTGTTTCAACTACCAACCAACCAAATGGCGATGCTGCCCAGTCCGGGGTTCCAGTTCCGGTGCTAAATGTGAAACATAAAAATTAATTGCCTCTCTGCGCACATACGAAATTAACACTTTTGTCTGGAGCCGCTTTATTATACTCCCAACGGTTCAGCCAGCAGTGTGAGTGGGCGGCACGATCCTTTTTACCAAGCAGAAGAGAATTCCAGCGGTGGTTGCGTTGGATGGGAATGCTCCGAGATGGACGAATAAATAGCTAATTAAATTTTATGACTTCATTTCTACAACTAAGAATGTGTGTGTATAGAAGTGTTAAAACGAGCTTTACAACCAGCCAGAAAAATGGTTTCAAAATGAACGGATGCGATGTCGATTTTTTTTTTAGAAAGGGAAAGGTTCTACTTTAGGATTGCTTCTCAGAACAGTTTCTTGGCCAAGTTTGTTACACATAGCTACGAATGGCAATTTAGGGAGTGGACACTAGCGATGAGCGATCTAGGATCGAAATACAAAAGATCGATTCTTTTGGTTCGATTAATCGATTTTTTGAATCTATCTCATACACGACAAAATCTACTGGATCGATCCTTTTCATTCGATTTTTGTTTCGATCCAAAACAATTTCAGTGCATTTGCATTTGCAATTTAATATTGATTTTTTTTTTGTCTTCACCTTTACACATCACTTGCATTGAACATGGATTCTGCAAACAACCAGTGTGACAGTTCAGTGGGCAACAACGAGAAAGAGAAAGTTTGATTATAAACCTCTTTGACGTTTAGTTGTCCTTCTCTATCTAGCACACATGGATGAACGGACGGTTAGTTTTCCCACTAATCTATTTCCCTCTTGCTCTATTTAAATGGTGCAGTAATGTGCGCCGATTAAACATCAAAAAGCCGTCTCTCTGTGCGGATCTGGAGGGCTGCGTACACCAGTGATCATACATGAATTCTCAACAGTATGTTTTTCTGAATGCTGATTCAACATGCATTTCAACTTTTCAACTCAATTTTAAACCAACCTGCAAAAAGATCCGAAGAATCAGTACCAATCCAATGATAACATTTGTTGATCTATTTATTCAAAGCTTTGTGTTGAGAAAATTTTAAACGTTTTGGATCAACACACAAGAACAAACTAAACGTTTTGACGCTGGCCAAAACAAAGTTTAAGGTAATAAAACCATAAGAACCGTTTTCAAAAATATATGTGTAGATACAACTTATGGTAATGCCACTATAAGAAAACCATCCATCGATATGAATGATGAAAAAATGGGTGAAGGGCAGATCTTGTGTCTTGTGTGAGATCAAGATCAAATATTATCCGCAAATCATTGGTTATAACTGATTTACTATGGATCCGGGTCATTTGGCCGAATGCCGTTTGGTCGAATTCCTTTTGGCCAAATACTGATTCGTTTCATTCGATGATTGAATGACGATTGTTAAACGAAGATTTATGTGACTTTATTTCTACACATGCTTAGTACCTTAAGTAATTTATTTATGCTGATGGGTCGATATGTAGGGTCCAGGTGTGAGAGCTGCTTCCCTGGCGTCGGTAGCATTGGTACTCAGTACGAAAAACAAGATCGACGGAAATCAAATAAAAAAAAAGATTTTTTTGTTTTTCCTTTGGTTTGTTTTTTTCGTCGATCTTGTTTTCCGTGCTGAGCACCAATGCTACCGACGTGCCAGGAAGGCAGCTCCCACACCTGGACCCTACCTATCGACCCATCAACTCATGAACCGGGGACCAACGGCTTTACTTCCCATCCGAAGGAAGACGTGATCAGAGATGTTATGCCTCAGAACATCCCGGCGGCGCCGACTGGGATTGAACCCAGGCCTGCTGGGGTGAGAGGTGATCACGCTTACCACTACACCACCGGCGCCGTTTAAAAAAAAAGATTTAAGCAACCTAAATTTAATAATAATTGCTCATAGAAAGTCCTTCGAATGCCATTAGAGGGGTTCATATATTTCACCCAGTATCCCAATATATAACAAGAGATTTAAAAAATGTCCAAAATCTAAACACTAAATATAATAAATGATCATGCAAAACGATAGTATCATCATAGCCTGTTGATTTTAATACCATAAGTTTGTTTTTTTTTTTTAATGTAAGAATTAATTTACATTTTTGGTTGTCTTGTGCTCAATTTGCCTCCGTTTTACGGTATTCAATTTAGAGTTGCGTTTATTCTCTCTGTTTCATGCAGTGCTACATGAAAGCGAATTGGAAACATCCATGAAGCATTGATGCCTACTGGCAATGCTTCGAAATAAATCTTCTTAACTCTTTCCCTTTGTTACTCTGGAAAATCATGCATTTTTTTTTAATTGAGAATTACAACTTTCTAAAATTACAACTGATTTTTGTAAAACTATTACAATATACTTCTTCTTCTTTTACTTTAGTCTCTACATGTGTTGTGAATGGCTTTTCATTCTCCACAAAATCAAAAGATTGTTATATTATTTTTTGTCCAGCGTGTCAGTCCTTTTGGGACCCTTTCTTCAGGGGCTCTAAAATTATTTATTAAAATTTAAGTTGTTTGAAAAAGAGTTTTAATAATTTTGTTATTTTTACCACTAATTACAGTTTTCTCGTCTAGTGTGGTTCTGTGGAACCTGGAAATATCCCAAAGTCAGAGTTTCTTTGTTCATAATTTTAATATGGCTGGCATTTGGTATCCCTCCACGCTGGGATTTTATCGTGAACTTACTCCCGCTCGAACGCAAACAGTTCGGATTTATCTATCCGTCGAAAATCCTTTCCAATTTTCACGCTCTGCAATTCAGCCCTTAATATAGTCTGTACTGGTTTTTTTCATTATCGGAAGAAAATCCAGGCCAATATCTCAAGACAGTCCAGAGATACTGGTTTTTAAAATTGATTACTCCAAAACATTCTTGGTGGTTATTCATCAGTTGTTGATGTCCTCTTCTCCTTCTTTTTCTTCGCATTTCAAGCTTATTGCTTAGTGCATATATTAGCTTATTGCGTGCTCTCAACTTAGCGTTCTGAATGAGAGCTTATTAATTTGTAAATTGTGTGGCAAGCACAATGATACTATATGCCCAGGGAAGTCGAGAAAATTGCCAACCCGAAAGATTCCTTCGACCGGACCGGGAATCGAACCCGCCGCTTCCTGCTTGGTAATATCGTACCTTTGCTGACTAGGCTATGATGCCTCATATGTCGATGTCCTCAATGACCTTAATTTGCAATTAATCAAAGATTATTTGTTGATAGATCTTTTACCTCAACTCAACATTTGGTGACCAACAAGCTCAGATATATTGGCTGACCAACGTATATAATTAGATGAGAACTAAACTTTATGATTGTACGTAAATTGAAAATTATTTGCTATAGCAGAAAATAAAATAATACTACAAATATTTGGTCCACCTCCGGGTAAATTATCCCGTTGCCCTCCTCAAATCCGATCTTGAAGTTTATCTACTAGAATAGATAAATAAAAACTTGTGCAAATTTTTAATTATTATCAGGCAATCCAACCAAGCTCGAGAAAGTTTCCGGTCAGATATTATTTTTTTTTTGGCATATTTCCACAATATGAGCAAGTTGAATAATCCACAAATTTATAAATTAATGTACATGAATAACTGTGTTGTATTCAATAAATAGCATCTGCGAAAAGTTCGATATCTGTTTGTCTCGCTATTTGTTTTTATAATGATGGGCCATTAGGATGAACGCCACTAGGCTGAATGTCATAAGGGCAAAAGAGATCATGTAGATCATGTTAAAGAGAGTGTTAAAGTGACTATAAAATACTAAAAAAAAAAAAATTGGATTTAGATTGCCCTCCATGTCAAATATTTTGTTC